GGCGCCGGACAGCGGCTCGAGCCAAGTCCGCATGTAGCGCGTGTCGGCGCCGAGGTGGGGCTGGGGGCCGTACGGGTGGTACACCACGGACGACTGCGAGGGCACGGGCGCCCACGACGTGCTGAACACGGCCGGCTTGGGCGCGAAGCTACAGGACGGAAAATCGCTACAGTCCGGCACCAGCCCGCTGGGTCTGGCGGCGGCGGGGTGAGCCCCCGTGGCCGGAAACCTGGACGCTAGGAGGTCTTCATTGTCGTGGGAGATGAGCGAGTCCACGTAATAGTTACTGATGGGCCCCGTCGCCGACATCGTAACGGGGTTTTACATACATAAGATTATTGTATGAACTGTATATGTACTTTTTATCTGCTCACAGAACAATCAAGGCAGGTAATTATTTTTCCAGCCTTTTCCCCGCAGCTCATTGGCTCCCCGGCCCCCACGTGATCGTATTTACCCAAAAATACGGCGCGGATCAATGCGCAGGGGCTTTTTTTTCCTTGCTTTTTTTTCCCCCCTCTCCCACCCCCTTCTCTCTGCTGATCCCCGCGACCTGCGATTTCCCGGGGGTCCGGAGCTCTGGACCCCAAGGCACCGGCCACCCCCTCAGGACGGCTCAAGGCTCCTCAGGCAACCCCCGTGCCCCTCTCCACCCATAAGCAGAGGGCCTCCCCCCAACCATGAGGATTTTTTTTTTCCTGGGGTGAAAATGCCAGTCCCGGAGCCAGGGTTCCCGGACCCCCAGGGCCGAGCTGGGCGCGGGAGCCCCACGGGGGCGGGGAGGCCGCCGAGGTAGGTGGAGGAACTATTTCTTGACGTAATCCGTCTCTGTCGGCCCCGACGCTCCCGCAGTCTCTGCGCGAGCCGAGATCAGCGATTGTCAGTTCGGAACGTGGCTTTTAAAAATGCGTTTTTAAATAGTGTGTATGTATGTATTTCTTTCAGGAGCTGCAGCAGCAGCCAGGGAGGGAGGGTGGGAGGGGACTGGAAAAGCTGGGGTGGAGGGAGGGAAGGAGGGAAGGAGGGGAAGGGAAGCGTCCTCCTGCCACTGGCCAACTCAGCCCCCCAAATCTGGGGCAGGGGAAGCTTAAGGAAGGTGGTCTCCGGGTGGGAGGGGTGGAACCTGGGGAGCCCGTGCATCTTTATCACCAGCCTCAGAAGTCTCCTCTTGGCTTTGGCACGGATATACAAGCGCCTTTATGTTAAATTTATTGTCTATATCTATTTATCTTTCTTTGCCAGCTTGAAGAAGTGGAGAGAGCTGCACAACTTAAGTGGGCGTCCCCATCCCATCTTCCTGCTCAACCTCTTTGCCCCCAACTCCATCTCTGCCACATCCCCCCCCTCCAAAAAAAGAAGTCACTCCCGGGCTCTGTCTGCAGAGAGCCAGGGTGAGAGCGGGCAAGGCGAGAGAGCGACCTCGGTCGTGGGCAAGTAGCTTGTTTTTACGTCCTTCAATAAAATTTTTATGAGGATCATTTGATTGTTCATAAATGTGTCTTTCATTAAATAAAATTGTAGGCTGTTTTTGGAACAGGAAAAAAGCAACGGAGGGATGTGAGAAGGCAATTTCTTTGGGGTCGGAGGCAGGAATTCCAGAGGGGGCAGTGTGATTGTAGGGGAGTATCAGACAACCTGGGTGCCTCCCCCCAATAAGTTGGTTGCTACCCTCCTTGAATGTGGGGTTTGTTGCCCAGCCCTCTGCTCTCCACCAGACTGTCCCATGGTGGCATAGTAAAGGAGGGCTTCAGACAAGCAGGGGAGTATTAGTGTGGGTGCAGATGAGGGGGCAGGAAGGCTGGCTGGGGGGGAGGCGAGGGGCAGGTAATGTCCCCAGAGACATGGTGCACCTAGGCAGGGCAGAGTGAGTTTGAAGGAGAGGTGTGATTACAGGGTCAGAAAGGAAGAGTCCCAGCCTTCGGCTAAGGAAATAGGCAGGAACTGAGGTTGAGATGCAGGCTCTGAAGGCAGCAAGCTAGGAGGCATCCCAGACCCGCCACGCCTGCCCTTCTTTCCCTCTCCTGTCCCCAGGAGGGGACCAAACGCCAGGGGTGGGGGGTGGGGGCTGGTTTTCTCCTGCATCTCAGTCGGTGTTTCTCTTCTCCGGTGGAGACAGGCTGGGGAGAGGGTATGTAGTGTGTGTGTTGGGGAGAGAAAAGTTGGGGGGGCAGCTGCAGCTGGCAGCACCAGCCCCAGCTCCAAAAGCCCCCTCCCCAGACCCTGCTCCTCCCACTCTCCAGTTCTTTCCTTTTCGGTCTAACGGGGCTGGGATTGCGACGCATGGGGGGGATGAGGGATGTATCTGGCTGGGGAGAGATGACCTGGGGCCTCAGCCTCGAACCCCTCGCCTACGACTGTCTTCCCCTCCCTTGGGCTGGACTGAGCTGGGAAACCCAAACTGCAACAAGAAGCAGAATATCTCTTTGGCCTTGATGGAGTCTGGTTAGCTGTCAATCAAAAAATCTCCCTCACTAGTTCAAGGAACAGACAGGAGCTTCCAGTCCCCCTGCCGAGGCTTTCTCCAAATCCCCAGCAAAGCCAGCACCTCCCCCCAACCCCGGGCGGCTGCGGACCGGCCGGCTCTTGGGCGGCTGCTGGCAGCGATGAGCAGAGACACTTAGCCTTCAGCGGGGCCCGGGGCCAGACTGCGACCAAGAGGACATCAAGGGACAGAGGCTGAGAGAGGCTGAGCCCGAGACAGCCTGCGACAGACCAACCGAAACCCGGAGCCAGGCCCAAGGAGGCAAAGAAGGAACCAGAGGATTAGGATAAAAAGAAAAGAGGGGGAGAGTTAAAGAAAAGAAGGAAGGCAAATGAAAAGAGACAGGAGAGCAGGGGAAGGAAGGCGTGCAGGGAAGAGCGGAGGAAGGCGGCGATACAGGCAGGACGGGGCAGGGCGCGAGCTGGAAGAGCAGCCGTGGCATTGTGCAGTCCGCTTGCTCGCCGGGCCTCTGCCGCGGGACCGGCTCCGGGCGCGGCGGCCACTTCTGTCTGGACACAAAGGAGGAAGAGGCCTCCTCTCCTGCCCCTCCCAGGAGACCTGCTTGGTGGGTACACTAGGCCTCCAGGACACAGAGTCCCGTGTTGGCTGATGCAGCCGCCCAGGCGACTGAGGGCTGAGCCAGACTCAGTCAAGGAGCGAAGAAACGGAAAAGGAAGGAGGTTTCACGCCTGTCCCTCTTTTGCATCTTCTCCAGGCAACAGGGCTGGCTGACCCAACCTCAGTTCTCCTAGAGGGCAGAGTCCCCAAGGAGCCTCTCCTGTGGGCCTCTGCTATTTGGGAGAGTCCCTCAAATAGACATGGTGGCTGTAAAGAGACGCCCCCTTCTCTCCTACCCCCTTTGAACACCGCCTTCTTTTCAACTCTTGAGCTGCCTGCGTACCCTGCCTGCCCACCCAGCAAAGGAGGCAGCAGCCAGGCAGGGACCTGCTGCCGTCAAATCCCCCGTGAAACCAAGGGGGAGAGAGTCGCCTTCTTTTCCTGGCAGGAGCATGAACTCCGGACCCTCCCCACTCAGGCACAGGCTGGCTGTGGATGAGGACACAGGCCTCGCCCACAGCCCCCTCCTAGCCAACGCTTCATTTTCCCTGAGCCTTTTGGAGAGAGGTGGCGCCTTGGAGGAAGGCTAGAACAGTTTGGGAGTCCCGGGCTCCACTAGGCCCAGGTCCCCCAGATTCCACGACCACGACCGCAAGAGGGTGGCACCCCCATTCTCCACCTTTGGCAGAGCGGTGGCGGGCCAGGGCTCTGAAACAGACCTTCAGCCTTCCCCCAAATCCAGGTTTGTAGGTTTTGGGGGGACAGAAAGGATGTGGGGGCACCAAGAAGGAAGGTCTGTCTTCCCGGAGTTCAGTTACTCCTTCTGACTCTCCTGCCACATTCCACAACCAGCTCCCCTCAACCACACCACTCCCTTTAGTTTCCCTCTGCATCGCTGTGGCATACCGAGGGACTAGAGGCCGCTGGGAGTCCCTGCTGGGGAGGGGGGAGCCCCACCTTCAACTGGCAGCACTGCATTCGCTCTGGTTCTCAGAGTTCCCTCCCGCCCCCAAAAGACTTCCCTGGGTGCGGGAGATCCCCCCAAGAGGGAGGGGCACCATTACTCCATCACTTCGAACCTGGGCAGCTGCGACCACAACCCAGCTAGCACCGTGGGAAGGACAGACAGAAAGATAGACAGGTTAGAGCCGTCCCCTCCCCCTGCCCCGTGCCTTTCTTTTAGTGATTTAAATTCCCTCCGGTTCAATCCACACCGTCAAGTTCGGATTAAATTTAAAACAGGCTTTTCCCGGTGCCCCCAGCGGGCCATGCCGGCCGCCGCAGGCAGGGAGCCCGCTCCCGGCTGGCCAGCACCCGCCCAGCGCGGAGGAGGCCGTGCTCCGTTTGCTTTCATTTTCCTTCTCCCCCTGAAATGGGCTCATTTCACCTCTCCACTGCCCTCGCCCCCTCCCCTCCTCCTCCCCAGTTTCCCACTACTTTCCCCCCCTTCTCTCTCCTGTTCCCTCTTTGTTGGGGAAAAACACACCCACACGCAACTCCTCCTAGCTAAGGCCTGCGCTGGAAGCAGAAACTGAGTTCTCCCGGCCAGCCACGAGGAGCCCCGCGCCGGCCCCCACCCCAGGTGGGTATCCGGGACCCCTGCACACCAGGACCCAGGCCCCGAGCCCATCGGCAGCGAAGCCCCCAGGGCCTGTGAACATGGCCCTCTCAACGCCACGGCCTGCCGGGCCTGCCTTCCCGCCGGCGCCCCCGCCCTGCCTCTCCGCAGCAAACGGGGCTATTTCCGGCTCCCCCAACACGGTCTGCTCTTCCAGCCGGGGGAGTGTCAGGCGGGGGAGCCGCCCCAGAGCCAGGGCAGCTCTCGCCCCGAGCCCCCATGGCCCTGAGAGCCTTGTTACCTGATCTTTTGTGTGATGTAAGTGTCGCAAGGAAATTTGCAGTGACTTTGGAGCCCAGACTGAGGAAGCAGAGGTGGCGAAAGGAGAGACAATATGGGCCCGAAGTACAATTAAGGGGCCAGAGCCGCTGTCTCTCCCCCGCCCTCCCTGCCCGACTGCGAGCTGTCTGTCCCCAAGCCTCAGGGCGACACGCGAACCTGGAGCCGGAAACTCAGCCCGTGGCGAGGGAGCCACAGCACTCTGCATCCAACCAGCCCCGCCGAGCGGCAGACAATCCAATGAATGAAAGTGCACATGCCGACGACTTTCCCCGATTTTTTCCAGCCTTTGGAAGGAGAGCCCAGGGTTTGGGGCATCCCAGACACACAGGCAAGCCGCATCTCCTGTGGCAGGCAGACTCACAACATGAGTGTGAGCCTGAAATCACACACAGGTTCAACCTTTCCCCAGGCCTCTCTGCCAGGCCCGGCGGGCGCCGATCTCCCTACCTTCTCCCTGCAGGGCCTCAGGCAGAGAGACCCAGCAGCCTCGGTCCCTCTGGCTCGGTCCAAGCCCGCCTCGGAAGCGCCTCTGTTACCTGCTCCTCGGCTCCCCGCGGCCACAGACGCAGGGCCGCCGCCTCCCGCCTGGGGAGGGAAGCCCC